AATTAAGTCAAAATGGTGTCATTCCTGAAAGAACTTAGGTTTCCCAGTATGTATTTTTGGTGTTGGATACCTTAAGGTGTGCCAGAACACCATGATATAACTGAAATCTCACTCTAACATTCTTCAGGTTTTATTTTTTTTAACCCAGATTCAGAATCATTCAATACTTATTCTTTTTAAATATTATTTTTAAAAGATGTTGAATTTAATTCGGGCCTGATGATGAAACTAATTTACTAAAATTTTTAAATAAAACTTGAATGAAATAGAAGTTACTTTGTACAGGAGCTGTAAGGAGCTGTCCTCCCATTGTTCATCGATTTGCTCGAGCAGGCCCAGTAACGTCTCCATTGTGAGACTTCTTGTTACTGTGTTTGGCATATCGAACACTCTCGGTAGCTTGCCAGGCTCTCTGAGAGGGGCGGAGGAATCGAACCTGGCTCCGCCAAGTTGGCTGCGCGCAAGGTAGACGCCCTACCACTGTGCTATCGCTCCAGCCTTTTTAACATCATCATTGACAGAGGTCAGAACTCGAGATTCTTTCTCTCATTTTAGTGAAACATGATACTCAAGCATAGGTCTTTCTATTCCTCTTTGGGAGACCTGAATAGCATAGCATTCTCATCCTGTTTGCATAGGGCCCAGGTCTCTGAGACTTATGTTAATGCAGGAAGAACAGTGCAATCAAAGAGATGTGCCTGGAGGCGGAGGTTCTTCATCCTCTTAGCTATTTCTTTGATGCTCTTGAAGGCATTCCAAGCTGCTCTCTTCCTCCTGCGCAACTCAGGTGCCAGGTCATTTGTCATGTTGACTTCTCGACCTAGGTACACATAACTGTTGCATTTGGAAACGGTCATTCCATTGAGAGCGAATGGAGCATCAGGAATGAGGCTGTTTCTCATAAACATTGTCTTCATAAAATTCAGCTGTACTCCGACCTTTCCACACTCATGGTCGAAGTTTGCCAGCATTTGTGCCACTTGGATAATGTTTGATGTTATTAAAACAATATCATCAGCAAAGTGGAGGTGGTACAGTTGCCGACCATCTATATTCACTCCCAGTAATTACAATGGGTCTCATTCCCCTTACCTTGAAGGTGTCATCAATATGACAGCATTGAGAAGGATGAAGAAGGAGAGCCAAAATAGGCTGCCAAAATGAAGAAAGACAAAAATGATTCTCTGTACTTTCAATGTATGTATGCTAGCATTGGATGCATCCACTGAGGACCTGATGGTACAAACCCGAAAGATCAAGTACGGCATCATTGGTCTGACCGAGACAAGAAGGCATCAATCACATTAAGCCGTTTTTGACATTGGAGAAGAATTTTTCCCCGAAACATGCGACAAAAGAGGTGTGGGAGGCATCAGTGTCCTTGTCAACACAAACTTGGCCATGAGCATTGATTCATTTGAATGCCTAACAACCTGAATAGGATGTTTACACTTGAATGCATGTGGCTAACTGTCGGCAGTTTCTGTCTTCATTGTCCACACACCAACATCCAATTATGATAAAGGAGAAACTGAGCAGTTCTACACGAAGCTGGAGAAGTTCTATAAAGAATACCACATCTTCTAGAAGATCATTGTGGGTGATTTTAATGCCAAGATAGGACCGAGAAGATCAGCTGAGGAACTTCACATCAGGACCCATGGCCTAGTATGGAACAAACAGGGTTAGAGACTGTCTGAGTTCATCATGTTGACCAAGACCATCCATGGTAACTCACAGTTCCAGAAGGCCGAATCTAAATGTTGGACATGGGAGTCTCCCAGTGGACGGTTCCACAATGAAATAGACCACATCATATTCAAGCCACGGTTTTTCCTGACCGATGTCGCTGTTGTTCCAAACAGGATCAGACTACCATCTCCTTCGTGAAAAATTCTACTTCACAGAGCAGGGAGAAAGGGCTGCAAAGTTTAAGAAGAGAACTCCCAGAACTACCACCAACTGGGTGCTGTTTGGCACTAATGCTGTAACATGGGAAGATACCATTGTTGACAACATAGATGAGGAATATGATCAACTGGTTCAGCAACTCCATGACTGTGCAAGGAATGCCAAGAGAGAAATAGCCACAAAAAAATGCCTGTCTTTGAAAACTCTTGAGCTTATTCACCAACGTGGTTTGGCGCATACCTCAGGCAACCGCAAGTGAATGTCTGAGCTCACAAAGCAGTGCAGAGATGTGATCAAGGAAGACCTCAAAGGGAGAAAAGCAGAAGTACTGGTAGATGCAGCAGAAGCCAGGAAAAGAATTCGTAATGCCCTCCTGTCCTTCGCCAACTACAAGACCAAGATGACTGCCCTCCGACATCCTGATGGATCTATCACATCTTCCAGAAGGTCAATGGAGAAGATTATTCATGACTTCTACTCAGATATCTTCGATAGCCACATCCACCTGCCCACATACCAAATACCACAGGATGGATATGTCATTCCCAATGTTCTCCCTACCGAAATCCTACATGCCATTTCGTCAGTAAAGAAACAAACAGCACCCCGCCCAGACAAGGTCAGACCTGAACACCTGAAGAACCTGCCGTCAGTACTCATCAATATGCTGGCTCAGCTCTTCACACGCTACCTGTCTGAATGCAAGGTTCCATCCCAGTGGAACACCAGCAGGACTGTACTACTGTACAAGAAGGGAGACATCCATGACATTGGCAACTATCACCCGATCTGCCTATTGTCTGTCATGTACAAGCTGCTCACTCGAGTCATCCTGAATAGGATTGGCAGAACACTAGATGAAGGACAACCATGCGAGCTAGCCAGTTCCACAAAGGATTCAGTACCAACCAGTGGTCTAAATTATTATTTTTATTTCTAATAAAACCTTTTTATATTGACCACTCATGTATTTTCATTAGAATTAATATATTCAAATATTTTATAATATATAAATATCATTTCCAAGACAGAAGCATTAGAATTCATATTAAAATCAGACTATGATCCTCTAACTTCTCTGTGCCTCAGTGGTATGCTTACTATTGTAGTCATTTGGAAAAACAACATGAGATTAGTGTCTTTCTATAGTCAGCTATATTAGAACACGTCAAACAAAAATAACTCAATTAATCAAAGCACTTATTCTCACACAAAAGCTACTGTTACTCAGATGAATTACAGGTTAATTATATAGGCTAATAAGTAGTTCACACAGAATCAATATTACACCCATAAGTCAATAAATAATTAGAAAAGGTAAAGTACTATAAGGAAGTTACTTAAGATGACAAAAATTAAGTTGTGAAGATTTGGATATTATAAGCCATTATGTGATGAAGCTAGGACAGAATTCATTCTTTCAGGTGAAGACAGAAAAAAGGATTTTGTTAACTTTAAACATGAGAACGCATTGTTTTTAGAGAAGATAGAGTATTGTTCTGAAGAGCATTTGAACTTGGCCACCAGGGGGAGATTTAGTTTGATTCAAAAATTGAGCAAACTTTTGACTTTTAACCTGTGAAATGTTTTATGTGCTTCTCTATTTTCCCTCACTTTTTAAAAAATGATACTTTCTCACAATTCTGAGAAGTTATTTTAAGGATATGAGAGATAATTTTGAAGTTGTCTTTCATAAATATCAATCAGAATTAATGTTCCAACAATTTATATTATTTCAAAGGTATTTTTTGTTGCATTACTTGGTAAACAATTCTGCACAGTTAGTTAGGTTAAAGTACAAATATCTACATTCACTTTTCTGCAAATTCAGTAACAAGTTGAGAAGAGAGAAATGTTAGCTACTATAGAATTTGTATTAAGAAGAATTTGTATTAAGAAAGAATTGTTTTGATTCAAACACATGAGTGTTTTCACACAGGAATAGGTATTCTATATTGAAAAAATGAAATTAAACTCTAGGCAAAGAAAGTTTGAGAAGTCAGAAAAATTTACCATCTCTGGTACAAAAGCACACTGTAATTACGTATTTTGTGTTTCTTTTTGTTTTCACCTATAGAGGAACAACTTTCAAAACATACCTGAAATATAATTCATGAAGAATAATTTTTAAATGTTACATCATCGGGGCTGGAGCGATAGCACCTCGGGTAGGGCGTTTGCCTTGCACGTGGTCGACCCAGGTTCTATTCCCAGCATCCCATATGGTCCCTTGAGCACCGCCAGGGGTAATTGCTGAGCGCAGAGCCAGGAGTGACCCCGTGCATTGCCGGGTGTGACCCAAAAAGCAAAAAAAGATAATAATTATAAAATAAATGTTACATCATTATTTCCTTCTATGCTTATTGCTTACATTAATTATTGAATAAAGCAAAACCTCTAGGAAGAAGTGATTCTAATAGTCATTACCATAGCATGGAAGTGTTATGGGTCAAGTATACCTCTGCTAGGAGCTTTGTTGGGCTCTGTGGATCATCCAAGGCAGTGTTCATTTTCTTTCTTTTTCCAATTTTCTTGACTGGATCTCAGAGCACCTCCTATTCTCTCAAACACATTAGTTTCAGGATGGAATACCCCAAGTGACTACTGTGTAAAAACATATAATATTTCTGTGGATCTGAGCATCTATCTATTCATTAATAGGAAATCCCCAAGCCGGTGCCACATGTCAAACTATTACCCTATTCTATGTCAAAAAATGTGGCTTCTATCCCCACATAGAAGCACACACAAACCACGGGAATCATGGAACAATTCCTCAGTTGGGAAATCTAGATGCGCATTTGCAACAGGTTGAGAAACACATTATCTATTACTTACCAGAAAATGAGTTAGGTTTGGCTGTAATTGACTGGGATGAGTGGAGAACAATCTGGATAAGAAACTGGGGATATAAAAAACTTTACAGGAACGAATCAATTGATTTGGTTAAGCAAAAACATCCAAACCTTTCTCATAAAGCTGCTGAGTCCCTTGCCCCAAAACAATTTGAAGCGGCAGGAAAGGATTTCATGTTGAGGACTTTGAAGTTGGGACTGAGACTTCGGCCAAAAAATTATTGGGGTTTTTACCTTTTTCCTGATTGTTATAATCATAATTATCACCACAACGACCGCTACTCTGGAAGGTGCCCTGAAATAGATAAGAGAAGAAATAATCGGCTCGACTGGTTGTGGAATGAAAGCACTGCCCTTTACTCATCCATCTATCTAAATACAAAATTAAAGCAAACTCCAAAGGCTGCACTCTTTTCCTACAAACGTATTAATGAAGCCATTGAGCTATCTAAAATCCGCAATTGTAATAATCCGCTTCCGGTTTTTGTATATGTGTGTCCAGTTTTTACTGATAAATTTTCAGAATTTCTTTCCAAGGTAAGTAAATCAAGGTAGGTTAACTGCAAAATAGTGTCCACAATGCTGTTTAGTAGAAGTTGACTACATTTTGAAAGGGAGAAAAATTTACCTCCCTTCCTTCCTTCCTTCCTTCCTTCCTTCCTTCCTTCCTTCCTTCCTTCCTTCCTTCCTTCCTTCCTCCTCCTCCTCCTCCTCCTCCTCCTCCTCCTCCTTCTTCTTTTTCTTCTTTCTTTCGAGGACACATCTTACTATATTCAGAGCTTGCTCCTGGCTCTGTGTTCAGGAATCACTCCTGAAGTTTCAGAGAGACTAAAGAGGGTGCCAGAGCCCAAATCAAGGTCTGCGTGTGTATGGCGGGTGCCCTACTCTTTGTAATATTTACAGCCCTAAAATTTATCTTTTTTTTTTCTGGTTTTGAGCAACACCTGGAAGTGCTCAGGACTCATTCTAGGCTCTGAGCTCAGAGATCACTCCTTGGCAGGCTTTGGAATATGGAATGTGAAGCATTGACCCTTGGCAGCCTGGGTACCAGGCAAGCATCCTACCCACTAAGATATCTCTCGGCTCCTAAAATTCATCTTTAATTGTTTTTACGAACAAGCCTACATAGTTTTGTATTAATTAATTGTGCATACAGAAGTACAAAATAAAATTTGTTTTTAATTTAATCCTGTATACAGCCAGGGGAATAAGGCAATATAAACAATGTAGTAACAGTTTATTTAAGATGAAAGTGCTTACTTTCTTGACAATAGAATCAATGAACATAATAACATATATTTTGGATATAGAAGAACAGTGAATATGTAAAAGGGTAATAAGGGATGTGAATATTGTTAAATTATTGTTGGCTTAGCATGCTTAGATTTGAAATTACTTTCCTATGATGACATTTTCACATATTTCTGTTAACTCTTTCACATATACCAGATTGATCTTGTGAATACAATTGGTGAAAGTTATGCTCTGGGGGCCAATGGAATTATAATATGGGGAAGTTTCACTTTACCCAAACCTTTGGTAAGTTGAATTGATAATAAATAGATGTTAAAATTAATTATTTAATGTAATGATATTGTGATATTGAGTAATAAGATAAGCATTATGCTTTGGCACATAGTAGTAGACACTTAATAATAATGATTGAATCAAGTGCATCCTTGCTTTTGTTCAATTATTTAATAGAAATATTTCACTTGTTTTAGCCAGCTAATAGATCAGTGTAAAATATATTAATGAAATTAAATGGAAATAAAATAGCAAGATTTATTGAAATTCTCTAACTAGTTTTGTAGAAGTAAGATTATAATCTCAATTTGCTGACAGAGTAAAAGATTATAAGATTGTTTTTCTGCTACATTGCATAGTAATAGAAATACTGTTAAAATAATTATTATTATTTTGCATGCACTTGCTTAGTTACTTATTCATTCAGTATTTTCCCCCTATGAGTGGTATTTTCATATTATTTCTGTTAACTCTTTCATATTTGCCAGACTGACCTTGTGAATACATATTTGGTGAAAATTAAGCTCTTATCACCTCATTTAGTTACTTTTCTTTGGACACCACTTATTTAATTACTGAATAAGAATAGCATATTGTAGAGATAAAAAAAAAATCCATGGTCAAATCTAGCTGGCTTTTTTCTTTGCACAAATTCTGGACTAATAATGGCTTATTATAGTCTAAATACAAAAAGATCAAAAGAACAGTATCCCATAAACATGTTTTACAATGTAAAATAAAAATTTCCTTGACTATCTAGTAGAGTTTAAAAGAAAATTGTGAGGGGCAACATAGTCATGTTTGTTTGTTTAGATGTTTGTGGATATATGCATTCATATTTCATTGCTAACTAGTTAAAGATAGTCTCTATATCACTATAAAACCTAAAATATTTACCTTCTTGTCCCTAATAGAAAAACATGTGAACATTTTACTTATGAAAAAGCAATTATTGTTAGATAACAGACAATTGAATTGGGCTGGAAATGTAGCTGGCCCAGAGAACTATCCCTTCACCATATAGCCTCATTTTCATGCTGTACATACATTGTCTGTTTAGTAGTAATATATGCCACATAGAGCAATGAAATAGTATATATAGGATGAAAAGATGTGGGTTGGGTATTTCTAGGTAAGATACTCATAGCAGGTCTATCTGATCTGTTGAAATTAGAACAGAAATTTAATGAAAATTATGGACTGAGTTTGGGATCCCAGCAATGGTCTTAAAATTAGAATGTGTTTTTCAAGAAAAAGGAAAAAAAGGTCTGTGTGATGAAAATACAGTGTACAAAGAATGAGTAGCAAAAAATGTGGTCACAGAGACACAGAAGGTCAGATGAAGTGCTTCATGGGCCAGGTTTTATTCAACTCTGAGGCTGAGATCTCTGATTAGCTTGGTGTAATTGAGAACAAATTTTAGAGGTGTAAAAGTCGAAGTACAGATGGGAGACTAAAGGCTTAGGTTTATGATGTATGGTGCTTAGATCTATCTTAGATCTAATGATGGCTTAGATCATTGATGCTGTCAATGATATTTCCCAATTAGTTTGATAATATAAAGAATTTGATTTTCTACCTTTAAAATTTTCACTTAAATCTTTTTATCCTATGATTCTCAGATCATCTCCAGTATTACTTATGGAGAAACAGTATGTCAGTTGTTTTTTTTTTTTATTTGTTTGGTTTTTATGGGGGACGGACTCACCCCTTTGTTTAGGGTTTACTACAGGCTCTGTGTTCAGGATTCACTCCAGATGGGGTTTTAGGAGACTATATAGGGTGCCAAAGGTGGAATCAGGGTTATTTACATGTAAGGCAAGTACCCTGTTCACTGTACTATCTCTGCTCCATCCTTCTATTTTAAGAGATGACACTTCTCTACTAATGACACTGCCTCAGTATTGTCACCTTTGGGCATCATTACGAATATTTCTCCTCGATTCCCTCATTTATTTTCATTTGAATGTTATTTCTTTAATGGAAAATTATTTTTATGCCGTTTGTCATCAAAGAGTCTTATTCTATCATGTTTCCTCTGATTCATTGGCAAGTTGGGAAAGCCAATAATTGTGTAACTATAAATAAATAAAGTAGTGGTTTTACCAAGTGATGTGCAAGGGATCATGTAATGCAAGAGATCTAAGCAGGTTGGTCATGTGCAAGGTATATTTTTTAATCTCTGTTTCAATATAGTCCCTTCATTTTTTTAGTATACCCACTAATTGACAGCTCTATTAGAAAATCAAGTCGTTAACTTTCTATTTTTTTCTAGCTCACAAGACCTGATTATTAAATATTTAGAAATCTGTGGCCTGGTTTCAAACACTGCAATCATTGACTTTGAAATAAATTATAATAATAGTAATTATAATTGAAAGGGTATAAATGATATACTTCAATTTACTAATATATTTTTAGGTTATTTGTAAGTACCACATCTGTATAAGTGGAAATATATGAACCATTCTACAGCATACTCTTATATTGTACAATAGCAAGCTACACATTTTCCAGTTGTATACTCAGTGTTATCAAACTGGTGGCTAAATTGGGTAAGTTAAAAGTATTTATACGATAACATCAGTAATGCTAGTCTTATGTTTTACAGAAACAAGATCTTACCTTTATCAAGCTCCAATTTTTAAATTTCTTTTGTTTTTTTGGTCACAACTGGTCACTCGCATGGGTTATTTTAAGCTCTGTATTCAGGAATTACCCGAAGGGTGTTCACCGTGTAGAATGCCAGGAATCAAACCTAGACCACATGCATCAAATCATGCTCCCTACCCACTGTACTATCTCTCTAACCGTCAAGATATAATTTTAGAGCTTTCTAAACACTCCATACTGTATAGACTATTTCTCAAATGATTCTTATTCCTTTTCTTCTCTAATTTCCTAAATATAATCTCTATTGAAAACTGCAATGCCAACTCTACTGGATATAAATTCTCATATATCCTATGCACTGGACACCCTTTGGGTGGTTTTGGTTTTTATTTTTTATTTTTATTTTATTCTATTTTATTGCTTTCTTGGGTCACACCGGCAATGCACAGGGTTTACTCCTAGCTCGTGCACTCAGGAATTACTCCTGGCAGGGCTCGGGGGAACATATGGGAAGCTGGGAATCAAACCCGGGTCAGCCTCATGCAAGGCAAATACCCTACCCGCTGTGCTATTGCTCCAGCCCAGGGTGGTTTTGTTTTGGGATCAGGGACCTGAGTCTCACTGGCCCCCACTTTTCATTGTCCTGCACCTTCCTGCACTTTCATGGGGTGCTGTCTCCCTGCCCACCCGCAATTGAATAGCCTTAAGGTATTTTTATTGACATTCATTTCTTCCACCTCAGTGGTGCTAGATACTCCTGCAGGCATTAGGAGATTGTTCTAGCTGACTCTGGGGGAACTTTTCTATCTGCTTCCCCCCTTCAAACCCACAGTCCTAAGTCACCCTAAGCGAATGGGACTGAATAGGGTGGAGAGATGGTTTTTTCCAGCCCTTGAGATAATGAATGCATAATCCCAAAAGGGTCATAGGCCAGAGCCCCACGGAGCACTGGTGCGTTCCATGTGGGCACTCAGAGAAGATCTTAAAACTCCCCCTTGGAAACTCACAATGAAACCACAGCAGATTTGGCAGAGGAAGACTGACGCGGCTTCTCCAGCAGCCCACTCTGAGAGCACTGTGCAGAGTGACGTTAATTGAGTAATTATTTGGCAATTACAAGAACTTTCTTCTCTCTGAGTCTGCGACTCTGGCGCTGTCAGCTGTAAAACATTCTTGAACTTTCTGGTTCTGGGTTTTTTTTTTTTCCAATTCACACTCCAAACTTGAGACTCTTTCATCTCCATCTTCCGAGCCAAAGGGGACAAATGTTTACACCCACAGAAATGTTTTTCTTTTCAAAGAAGATTCGCAACTTGCAAGGACTCTGTCGGGCACAGGGGGAAGGTCCCCATCTCCCGAACCTTGCTCCGGGTGACACACAGCTCTTGCTTCACGGTAATGAATAAAGAGGCATCGTGAACGCCAGCATGCAGGGGCTCTGATTGCCTTTTATATGCACAACGAGCTGGGGACAACTCTCTCACGAATCAATTTTTCAAAAACCCCTATAACTTCCCAAACACTCCTTCTGATAAAAAATAAAAAAATAAAAAATAAAAACCAAAACCACCCAAAGGGTGCCCAGTGCTCAGGGTCTTGGGGAAAAAGCCCAAGTTGAGGTTCAATCAGTGTTTCTGTTTTTCTGGAATCCTGCTTCCCCCCCTTACCACTGTCCCCCAGAAAAGACCGTTTCCAGGACACAGGGGCCCCACTGTGTTGTCCACTTCGCAGAGTGACCAGGGCACTTTGCCTCTTGCCAAGGGCACAGCTTTCCAAGGGCCCGTTCATATGCCAGGTTGCTCACCAGGTGTTGGGCAAAGCCCCATGCGTGCCCTGCCTTTGTTGGGGTGTTTCCCATGCTTGGCAAAATTGGCCTCACCCTGGTCATTCCATTTCATGGCTGGGAAAACTGAGGCTCTGGGAGGTTCCAGCACATGGGTGTGTCCGCTGCTACAGTTGGCTTGTACACGCCCTGCCTGTGTCCACCCTCTCGTTTCTACCTTGGGTTCTGGAGAAATTCATGCTTGTGTGGATTCCCGGCTCCTTCCCTCAAAGGGGCTAACCGTGTGAGGGGGTGCATGCTGGAGAAAGTGGCCCCGGTAGGAGACACCACACTGCCCACTTTCAACTGTGCATTCTTTTTGTTTTTCCCATTTATTTATGTTTTTTGACCTTGGCAGCATACTCTGTGTTGATGACTTTGTGGACATAGCACTTACACACGGAGTAGGAGCCCACACTGAACACCAGGTTCTTCCCGTGTAGTTGCTGAACCACCGAGTGAAGTGAAGTGGTGCCTGTGTAGAGTGAGGTTTGCCGTCATCATCCATCAGGTCTGTGGCCACGAAGCTGAAGCCACGGAACAGTTGATGGGCGCCCACGGTGGGGGGGATGCCTGGGGAGTCCCTGGGGGTGCGGAATGTGAACTCAGTGTCAAAGTAAAAGGTGTCGTTGGGCTGAGCCACAGCTGCCTTAAAGAGGGTTTGATCTCCCGACGGTACAGCTTGTTCCCGTCAATGGTGGAGTAGAAGACATGCCGCTTGATCTCCTCTGCCCCATCAGGACCAGAGCCAAGCTGGTTGGCAGGATTCTGCTTGAAGAGAGCCTGCAGGAGGCTCTGGGCTTCTGTGCTCAGAAACTGGGGCATGCCTAGCTTCGCCTTCAGAATCAGTGTCATAGTCTCCTTCTGGTCCTTCCCCTGGAAGGAAGGGCAGGGAGCCTGTCAGCATCTCGAACATCAGCACCCCATAGGACCACAAGTCAGCATTGTGGGTGTGGCCCTGGAGGCTGACAACCTCTGGGGCCATGTACTCCACCGTCCCGCAGAAGGAATAGGTCTTCTTCCCATGGTCAATGGCCTCCTTGCTTAGGCCAAAGTCAGTGAGCTTGATATGGCCCTCCTCATACAGAAGGATGTTTTCAGGATTCAGGTCTCTATAAATGATGCCCAAGCTGTGGAGGTGGTCCAGGCCCAAAGCCAGCTTGGCTAAGTAAAACTTCTGCCCCCGCGCCTGGCTATCCTAACCAGGGCCCTTGGAGGGGAGCGGGTTAAGTTTACCTCCCCGTCCCAACCAGGGCTCCGGCAGTCGAAGACCTCCAGAAACCAGCCACCACCATGCTGAGACCACTCTCCGCACACATGAAGGTACTGGCAGAGGAACAAAGGCACACGGGTTCTTGGGTTGAAATCTCCAAGCCTACTCAAATCAGGGCTGAGCATCCTCCACCCAGACACTCCAAATTCCAGTAGGTGGGGGTCACACTCACCAACAGGCCCCCTGGCGCCATGTAATCCCATCAGCGGCCAAGACTCAGAGACTATAAAACCCAGCTCCTGGAAGCACGTGGCCGCATTTGCGGCTGCTCGACACCTTATTATCGCATTCTTACTTTGGACAAACTGGCAGGGTACCAAATGTAATCTGCCCACACGGCAGAGTCTGGCAAACTCCCCGTGGTGTACCCAATATGCCAAATACCAGTAACAATGATGGGTCTCATTCTCCTAACCCTAAAAGAGCCTTGCGTATGGCACTTCTTAAAAAATATCTGGGCTAGGATGAAGGAGGCATTACTGGGGCCTGCTCGAGGCAATCGATGAACAACAGGATGGTCATGATCGGTCGTGATCATGATATCCTATGCATGGAGAACTTTGTGTTAAACGATAGTATATTCATAAAATTTATATTAATGTTGATGTGGTAAAATGTTTGGTGTAAAAGTTCTATGCAGAAAATTAGGAGAGATGTGAGTCTATAGACAAAATGGTGTCTTATTAAGATTTAACCTAATGATAATGTGGTATCTATTTTTTTAAATTATAGAACAATGTGTTCTAATATGAGGAAACAGTAAAAGCATCTAGAAATTATCTTGCCATGCAGTGAGACAATTAGTATGTGTAATGATGAGAGATGGTTATACAAGAGAAGCAATAAACTGCATCAGACTCTAAACTACAGAATTTGTTTAATAAACTAGAAAATAAACCACAGAATGTTGAATTTTACCCTAATTATCATGCAAAGATATTAATGTATTAGTAAGGTGTTTTCTTACCTTTCCATAAAGTCTTAACAAAATTAGTGACTTAGGAACAAATATTCATTATTATCTTATAGTTCTATAAGTAAGAAATTAAAGATTAAACTCAGTGACTGAAAATCAAATAATTGGCAAGGTTTTATTCTTTCTACAGAGGATCCAACATGCTTATTTAGGTTGTCTGCATAAATCACTTCCTTCTGGTTATAACAATAAAGCCTCTTCTTTTTCATTAACTTCTGATTCTTAAAGGCACTACGATTTTAGTCTTCCTGCATCCTCAAAGTCAGAAATTTTTTGAGTCAATTTCTATGACCTTAGAATTTATTTTCCCTGACACATCTCATGTATATTTTCCAGGTAAATTTTTTTCTACATTCTTTATGTCTCATGTGATTCATCAGAAGTCATACAATATGATCTCACTGTTCATATTGTTTTAGTTCATCTTACTCTTATTTGTATCTATAAGCAATCTCAGTCATAGGTTGCATTTATGTGTGTAGTACATTTTCATTTACTAGACAGTTCTATATTTATCCTTACCATATAGTGGAACATAATCTGGATAATTTATTTAGCCAAAAAATGAAAATTAAAAAATATGAGAGCAATGGGAGTTAGTGAAAGGATTAAAGCACAAGATTCATGCACTCCATTTGACATACTACTTCTTGTTACAGTAAAGTGAAGAATTTTCTATCTTAATTTGGATTTCTTTTTTATTTCTTATTTCTTGCTTCCACACATTGCTTATAATGATTAATTTTTTCACATATAAACTAATTTGTTCCTCAATATTCTGAATTTCCTTAAAAATACAGGATATTTGCAAAAATCTACAAACTTTTGAGAAGAAGAGACTGAGTCGTTACTTAATCAATGTTATTCAGGCAGCTAAAATGTGTCACCAAGCACTTTGCCAAGATGGAGGATTCTGTACCAGGAAAAACTGGAATTCAGATAACTATATTCACCTGAACCCAAAGAATTTTGTTTCTAAGTTTGGGTGCTGTGACAAGCTCATAATATATGGGGAACCATCACTTCCAGACCTAACGCAGTTTTCTGACAAATTTGATTGCAGTTGTTTTACCAATGTCACTTGTGATAAGAATGATAAAGTAGAAAATATTAAAAATATTTGGGTATGCATTAATGATGAAGTTTTCATATCAGCCTTTGTAAACTCAGGCAGCAGAGGCATTTCTTCCAAGATTCAAGGAAACACTCACAACAGCCAACTCACAATTTTCCACATAACCCACTACACAAATCACTATATCACCTTATGTATTCACTATCCCGTCATCTATGAGACCACACATATTCCTATCTAATCACATAGACTCCTAATTTTGATGAAAATCGTATTGGTGCACCCATTGAGGTCAAGAGAGCCATCTTTACATCAAACAAGGAAAATCTGCAAATGTATATGCAACCTCTTTGTGTTGACACTTTTTACATTATATAATATTTCTTTTTGTAAAATAAAATTTTAGCAGACGCAGTTATAGTTTTTTTTTAAAAAAATTTTGTTTGATATTTGAAATGTGAATTTAAAAATGAATCTATTAAAGTTTACTGTTTTTGTTTTTTGAGCGGGTGGATTGGGCCACATCTGGTTATGCTCAGGGGTTATTCCTGGATCTATGTTCAGGAATTATTCATGGCAGTGCTCAGAGGACCATATGAAATGCCACGGATGAAACCCAGATTGGCCACATGCAAGTCTTACCCACTTTTGTTTCACATCAGCCAGTCATTTTTTCAACAAAAGTTTTAATACTTATTGATTAATAAATTAAAAATTGACTATAAACTTTAATTTTCAAAACAATGGGGTGAAGAGTTTGTGCAATGGTAACCCATTCATCAAATATTCACCAAACATGTAGCTGACCCCAGCTAGACTCCTAGTATAGCAAATAACTCTCCTAGAACTGTCAGGATATATCCCTGAAAGAGAGCCAGGAATAAGCCTTGAGAATTGTGCATGTGATCCTAACACAGAACAAAACAAATAAAAATCATGGTATAGTTCGATGACAAGTAAATAAATATTTACAATGGATTTTGATCGTATCTTCATTTGATTTCAATATGATTATTAACATGCCACATAATTGAGTTTATAAGAGGATGTTCCATCTTATAATTGTCAACTGCTATGGGCAGACTGGGAATATTTTTTTATTGTGCATAGTGTTAGAGTGAAAGTCAGTTAGAACTGCCTACTATATTCTTCATTCTATCAAAGACTTATTGAAAGACCTGCAACAATTTCAGGTCAACTTAACTTCTTAGAAAAGTGAAGATTACAATTATGCAAATTTACTGCAAATAGGTGTACAATACTTTGCAATCATAATAAAATGTTACAAAATATTGAGGTACAAAATCTTTCAAAATGCTTTGTTCTAATAACATAAGCTGTTCCTATGCATAAAATCAACTAACTTTATTAGTTATTTCATTTTGAGGATTTTAGTTGTATTGAATAAAAGGTAGTTTTCTGCTCACGAAATTATTCATTAAATGATTATACCATAAACTTTTACTCTTGGTGTAGTATATACAAAAATTCATATTTATGTAATTCTCACTTCTTTGATCCTTGATTGCCAAATTTGAGAATTCCACGTATCTAAAATTCCTTAATTTCTCAAAGCATCAATTAGATACTTCTAAAAACACATAAGCATTTATTGTCTGCTAGGCTTAGTATAGTCACAGATCATTCAAGGTGAAGTAGTATGTTCCCTGTGTCTAGTAAGCGTGTTGTACTTTCACAAAATGCTTGGAAATTGGAAAATGACAGCAATGTGTGTAAAATGATAAAATCTCAGCATGCTCTGGCATACAATTAAGAATCTGTGTATGTCAGAAAATAATTTCATGGGTGTCATTAAGGAAACAAAGTGTCTGATGCCTTCAATGTCGAAGAATAATTAGTTTGGAGACACAAATGGATGTTTTCAAAGAATGAATAGAAGAAAATAAACAAATGATGAACTCTTTCATGAATCTTTACAGCAGAGAGTAGAACTTTCCGATCCTCTGAGAGCAGCCACTTAATTAATGCTACAATGATCTGGAGTGATAGCACAGCGAGTAGAGCATTTGCCCCAGCAAGCTACCGAGAATAACCCACCCAAATGGCAGAGCCTGGCAAGCTCCCCGTGGTGTATTTGATATGCCCAAAACAGTAACAACAAGTCTCACAATGGAAATGTTACTGGTACCCACTCAGCAAATCAATGAACAACGGGAGGACAGTGCTACAGTGCTACAATGCACAACTCCCATTTGCTTTCCCACAATACTACTTCTAAAATGGTCAGAAGGATCTAAAAATGGCCAACAATTATCATATAGTAGACATTGTATTGGTTATATAATGTAAAATTTAAAGAGGAAATATGTCTGAAGTTTCCTCTCTTAGGTATAGTGATGGTATTGGTGATCATGGAAGGGTTTAGAAGGTAATAAAAATGAGGTCTTTTTGTACATGGGGATTCATTATAAATTTCTTTTAGATCTGTAGGAACATAAAATAGTGTGTTAGTATGTTAAAAGTTCCATCAATAGCTAAATGTTTATAGATATGAATTCAAAAAAGAACAT